CTCTTTCAGCGCTGGAATTCGTAAGGCTAAGACAGTTGCGTCGATCGCAGTTACGGAGGGGTTTGCTTGGCCGTGTGAATTTGACACTTCTGACGTGCGACTGCTACGGACGGGCGTCGTTGGGTGCTCCTTGGAGTGAAATGAGCTTTTCCACTGGGCCAACTCGTTGTGGCATTGGGATGTTACTACTTGGCTCCCATAATTTGCTCAAGCTGAAGATGAATAAACCTTTTTATTTTCTCATTGTAGTTTGGAATTCTTAAAAAGATTCATCCTAGAACAGAACTGAGGTAATTTTAGTTGTCTATTTTTAGAGTAAGATGCTAAAAACACACATGGCTTGTTCTAATGCTACATTTAGGAAGAGACTCTGAAGCCGAGTGACAAGATTTTAATTATCTAGTCTCATGAATGGCTCTAGAGAATTAGTTTTGACTGCAGAAGGTGTCTTTTGGCGCACCTCCTCCTTGTTGCGGGTAGGCTGCGTTCTGCTGAAGCCATTCCAATTCTTGTTTCTGATGTCTTAAAAATGTTTTTCCATCAAGTGCTTTCCTGCTCTGAAAACCAGTGAAAATCAAGAGCTGTACAGAATCTTCAAGTCCTGTTTGGCAGAGCCACATAATTAGCCTTTTTAGCTTTTCTTCTGCAAATGATGTTACCTTGGAAAACTTTTGAGGGGAGCTGGAGCTGTTGCCTCCTACTGGGTGAGGTTTTTCCTTCCCAGAAACACGTGCTGAGCACCAACGTTGGGAGTTGGGAAGTGTGTGTGTCAGCTCAGCCTAATGACAGGTTACCGACACAGGTAAAACGTCGGAAAGGTCCACGATTTTACTGCGGGGCAGAGCTGCTTGTGGTATCTCTCTGGATGATCTCAACGGGTATTTGAATTCTGATTAATGGTACTGGAGTTTCGTCAAAAGCAACAGGTTTGAAACATTACTTCGTTCCAGATACCCGTCTTCGTTCCATCTGCTGCTTTTAAGCACGTCAGCCTTATGGTAAAACTAGTGTCGTGGGCATTTGTAGCTGCTCTTGCCTCGATTGGCCTCTTCTGTCGAAGAGTAAAGTTACTACATTATAGAGCAGAGTGAAGCAGGGTGACAGTGTGCATCCACACAGCTTTGTAATGGGTTAGACCTTGTGCAGTGGGGTGCTTTTTTGCCTTTTAATATGATTGCGTTCATGAAAAGCGCTGCGGGAGCGGAATATCTGTCTTCCCAAACGTAGTATCAGCAGAAATGGGGAAGCAGTTCCAGGGGATCACTTCCAGGAAAGCACATCCGTTCATCTTCATGAGGTACACGGGGTTTGGAAGTGTTGGGCTGCAGGTTCGTGTGAGATACAGTGGTCATGAGTTAAGTATGCTGGGCGGTTTATGGTTTTGCTCTTAGAGGTGTGTCTGTACTCATTACTTTTAGTGGATCAGAGGGAGGAGGTGCTCATGCTAGAGCCTGTGTGCCAACAGGAATTTTTTTCTCCCTGCTGAATTAAATTACGAGCACAGTACACTGTCAGTATTCACATCCGCATGCCGAATTTTGCCCTTCCTTTTTCAGGGGTCGGAGGGTGAACGCTTTTTAGGCTGCTGGTTCACTCAGCCCCTTTAAATGTTTTCTAGTGTGTTGTACTCTTTTCATAGAATCCTAGAATGGTTTGGGTGGGAAGGGACCTTAAAGCCCACCCAGTCCCACCCCCTGCTATGGGCAGGGACACCTTCCACTAGACCAGGTTGCTCCAAGCCTCATCCAGCCTGGCCTTGAAGACAGGCAGGGCTTTTGACTTTTGTCAAACTGCCTTGGTGTTTGCAGGAGGTAAGGAAAAAAAAAATCTGAAAGTAGGCAGTTGCCTTTCTAAGGAGCCTCTGAAGTTGCCTCTGCCTAAACTTTCTTATTTTGCAGGCGCAGCGCTCCGCTGAAAATTCTTCTGCCCTCGGGAGAGGTGGTGCCTATTGTTAAACCCAGTATTGTCTGGAATTTGGACAGCTCTTTATGCCTCTTGAATTCTTAATCCAGAGAGATTTGGATTTGTAGATTGAATAAAAGTCTCTACTAGACGTTTATAAAAAGCTTTTCTCATTCTGATTTGTCTGTTTTAGAAGACCTTGAAAAACCCCGAACCCTAACATTGCGATGGAAATTGTTGGACTTTAATCTTGGGGTTTGGGAGGTGGTGTAATCCTTTAGTTTCATGCACGCTACATGATAAAACCACCCCAGATTTCAGATTGTAGATCTTCACTAGAAACATCAAAACTAACCTGTGTCACTTCACCTGTTACATTTGCTGGTTTTAGCTTTGCAAGCAGGTTGGGTTTAGAACCAGGTTGGGTTTATTAGGCAACGTTGTTCTGGTTTTATTACCATGAAGAGGCAACATGGTGAAACGACAGCGCCCATCTGCGCTGCTCGGTGACAGGCTGCTGCAGGGTGGCTGACAGCGGGATTTGGAAAGATTCACTAATAACACTCGTCAAAAACTGTAAGCCCTTACGTAATGTTTATTACACAAACGATCCTGTTAATAGGAATAAGCCATAGATGTTTTTTCAGAAGCCAAGTTGGTGAGTGAGGTTAGAAAGAAACCCATGAGTTAGCTTTACCTCGTGTTAGCCGTCTGCCGCGGGGGCTGGCTCTCCCCCCCTCGGAGAACCTGGTGTTAGCCCTTTGGTTCGCAGGTGACTGGACCAGACGGAGCGTTCCTAGGATGTGGGTGTGCCTCCTGAGTTGCACAGTTAAATTTCTTAAGACTCTCTTATCACTGACCAGACTTGAATTGGGATTTTGTGTACACAGTGACTAAGGAAGCCTTTCTTCAGTGAGCCTAGGTAGAACAGCTTAAGACTGAATATCTGCTTCCGTTTACTCATCTTGCGCAGATACCAGCTCCTTTATGGCAGGGTGATACGTGTCTGCTTTGACTCTGACACTTCATGGCTTATTATTTCGACTTTACATGTAATAAATGCATTTACACGCGGGTGCTTGAGTGGGGAGCTGGCACGCGCAGAGCACTGTGCTGGTTTCGTGCACCGGCGAAGGAGCTCCTGATCCATGGGAACTGATTTTCATCACGGCCAAATAGATCCAGTTGCTTTCTGTTGTGTGTTCAAACCTGGACGGGGGTTAACGGGGCGTTTTCTTGTTAAAAGAGTGAAAACTCAAGAAGGGGATGTAAGTCCTTACGGCGTAAGAAGCTTGCTGTCTGGGGTAGGCAGCCGTTCCGTCGTGCGTATGTCCAACTCTAGTTGGCTATTACAGGAATTCTTACTCCTTTGTTTAGAGAACTAGTGTGTACTGCTAGAAATTGTATCCTGGGCTAGCAGGGTTACCAGCTCGATCCAGTAGGATGATTCTAGTGGTTTCAGCCATAAGTTTCTAAATAATTCCTAGTTTAAATCCCAAATATTTTACCCCTTTTGTAATTAATTGATATTTAATTTGAATTCCTCTCTATTCGAGCTCTTGCATCCAAAGAGGAAGCTGGCATAGCGAGACAGTTTATTGCTACGCTGGGAGCTGGCCACTTGTTAAATAAAGCAGAGCGTGTGTAGCCAAGAGCTGGCAGGAGGAAGGCTTTCAGGAAAATGGAAAGGCGAATTCCTTGGCAGATGTTTTGAACCTAAGAAGTTCTTACAGCGTCGACGGTTTTGGACATGGTGCCGTAGGTTGTGTTCTGGGCTGTCTCTGAAAGATGGAGGTCTGTGTTCGAAGGCTTTTGCACCAGTCTGCTGTAGGACAGCTCCAGAGGGAAGCTGACGGGCTCTCTATCTGTTTTACTGCTCTTGCATTCCCAGGCACGTACAAGGGCCCTGTTGTCAAGCTTTCAAACCATTTTTTAACAGGCAGACCATTCCCTTAAATAATTTAGTCGTGATAAGTAGGCCTGGATGGCTTGAACGTGATCCAAGTGCGCACGTTCCGGAACAGATGAGAGCAGCCAGTGGGATATCTTTTTCTTTTTTACCCCTCTTAGGCACTGAGTTTTATGTCAAACATGTGATGATGAAGGGATTTTTAGACTGGAGGGAGGTGGGAATGCCTACTCAATGGAGTAGGGAGCTCCATTTCTTCCTGGTGTTCATAAAATTTCTCTTCCAGGTGAAACAGGCAACCAACCAAATTGTGATGAACTGCGCTGACATTGACATTATTACAGCTTCCTACGCGCCAGAAGGAGACGAAGGTAGGGTTGCTTTTTGCTGCAGTCTTTATGTGTTTATCCATTCCATTTCTGATGTGAGGGGCTGTTGCCAACAGTTTGCAAAATTAGGTAATCGTTGGGTAAGCTAACTTGCCCCTAGAAGTACAAAATTAATTATTTGACCTTCATAGAATCCCAGCCTGGTTTGGGTTGAAGGGACCTTAAAGATCATCTAGTTCCAACCCCCCTGCCATGGGCAGGGACACCTTCCACTAG